TATTTTGCAGGTCTTTTATTGGGAGTGTAGATATTTATTATGGTTATGTCCTCTTCTCCGGTTGACCTTTACTCGTGAGATAATGCCCTTCTTTGACACATACGCTGGTTGTTGCCTTAAATTTCATTCACTTACATGAAGAAATTTGTTCAAAATGGTTCCTTTGGATTGGCACAAATATGGATCTCTTCCAAAGAAGGGAGTCCAATGGAATGCTGAAGTTATTGAACAGTATCATTAATATCACAGTCAAATAAAGCTTTTCTGAATACAATTCAAAAACAGTTGCAGCTTGATATTGACAAAGAGCTGTCCAAAATTAAAGCTGAATTCAGAAGAGGACTTGGAATGAGGGATATCATTGCTGATATTAGATGGATCTTGGCTTGACTATGCAAAGGCAATCAACTGTGTGGATCATAACAAATTATGGATAACATTACAAAGAATGGGAATTCCAGAATACTTAATTGTGCTCATGAGGAACCTTTATATAGACTAAGATGTAGTTGTTTGAACAGCATAGAATATGATATAAAATCAGGAAAGATGTGCATCAGGGCTATATCCGTTTGCCATGCTTATTCAATCTGTATGCTGAGCAAATAATCCCAAATGGTGCACTACATGAAGGATGCAGCATCGGGATTGGCTGAAGATCCAACAACCTGCGATATGGAGATGACACAACCCTGCTTGCTGAAAGTGAGGAGGACTTGAAGCACTTACTGATGAAGATCAAAGAATGTAGCCTTCAATATAGATCACAACAAAATGTAGAGAAGACAAAAATCCTCACAACTGGACCAATAAGAATGAACATGATAAACGGAGAAAAGATTGAACTTGTCAAGGATTTCATTTTATCTGGCTCCACAAGCAATACCCATGGACACTATTGCTGTTAGACCCCATTGTGCCAGCTCTGACTTACAGCGACCCCGTGCAGACCCAGAAGGAGACTCTGCTCGGTCCTTCACTGGCCGCGTCATTGTTCTGTGTGAGCCCATTGTTTCTGCTGCTGGTTCAGTCTGGCTTGTCTGTCAGTTTGTTGTACTGTTGTAGGTCGTGTGTTGCTGCAATGCTGGAAGCTCAGCCTCCAAATATGGAAGCTGTGCCCCTGCTATTTGAAATTCCAGCAAGGTCACTCATGGTGGACATGTTTCAGTGGACCTTCCCGACTAAGATGAGGAAGAAGGAGAAACCTATGGAAGCAACATCTTGCCTTGAGGAGAGCTGCTGCAAACGACTTCATTCAAGTGTTAAAAAGCGGAACTGTCACTTTGAGGAGTTAGGGCTCCTGACTCAAGTCAATTGCATTATATGCATGCAGAAGCTGAACAATGAAAGGAAGACCGAAGAAGAATTGATGCTTTTGAATTATGGTGTTGGCAAAGAATATTAAATACACCATGGACCACCAGAAGAACCAACAGATGGGTCTTGGAAGAAGTATAGCTGGAATGGTCCTGAGATGTGAGGATGGCAACACTTCATCTCTCACATTTTGTACAAGTTATTAGGTGGGATCAGTTCCTGGAAAAAGGCATCAGACTTGGTAAAGCAGAGCATCAGTTAAAAAAGAAGACCCTTATGGAGGTGGCTTGGCATAGTGTTTGCAACCACGGGCTCAAACAAAGCAATGATTTGGACCCGGCAGTGTTTCGTTTTGCTGTTCACAGGGTGGTTAGGAGTTAGAAGCAACTCCACTGCACCCAACAACAGTGACACCAGCCTCCGTTCATATTGTGTTAATGAAGTCCCTTCAGGAGTTTATTTTTCCTTTCTGCTCCTGGTGGACGTCTGGTTTGTTCCCGTTTCTTAGTGGTTAGAATTGGTGCTGCTGAAACTCTTACTGCACTTGTGTGAGCCACTGCCGAGACACAGAGCGCATGTTTGTTCAGTAGATGATGAGCCAGTTTGTGCTTCTCCAGTGTGTGATGGTTCCAGTGGGCCTGCTTCCTCACCTACACTAGTGTCTTCAATCGCAGCCTCTCTGGTGAAGGGTAGTGGTACCTCATTGTAACTTCCTGTTATCAGTACGCACGAGTCATTTCCATAGTTTCTTTGTGATGCATTTGCTTAAGCCTCTTGCTCTTTTGCTATTGGAATAATAGAAAAATGCCTTTCCAGTTTATTTGAAGGAATTCTTTATGCAAGAGGGCTTCAAAAGATTCACGGAATTGTGAAAAGAAAAGATAATAGAATTTCCCCTTGAACTTTTTGAGCCCCCTCGTGTTTTATGGTATGGAGCTGTGGGCTAATGCGTCAGACTTCCAAGTCATTTGAACTGCAAGGTCGGTGGTTCAAGCTCACCAGCTGCTCCTTGGAAACCTTATACAGGCTCACTGTGGGTCGGAATTGACTCGACAGTACTTAAAAACAACATATCTTCTAAAGAGAAATGTTCTGCCCCTTTAAATTAGTGTGGATCTTCTAAAACTGTATACAAATGAAATCAAACGGGGTGGTTTGTTTTGTCTTTGTTTTGGCTCTTTCACTCAGCATGATTGTGTAGAGTCATACATGTTGTTGCATGTAGTACAGTTCACTCCTTCTTATTGAGTGCTATTCCGTTGTATGCCTTCTCCTGTTGATGGGCACTGAGTTACTTGAATTATTTTTGGCTTTTATAGCCAAAGCTGCTGTGAATATTTGCATGCTTTCTCCTGTTTTAGGCCACAGATGGCCGAGCCCTGGTGTATAAGTCTTACACATTCTTGCTGATTTGTTCCTACTGTACACAAAACGAGAACACCATGTGACTTGAGCGATGTGTCCACAGTTTGAATTCAGGGTTCTGGGAAGCCGTGCTCTCTCCTTTGTGCCATGTTTTGTCACTTCCGACTCATGGAGACTTTGTGCACAGCAGAGCCCTACCCTGCCAGATCCTGTCCTGTGCTCACCATGGTTTTTATGTTGGACTCATTACTGCTGCCACTGTGTCGGTCCATCTGGTTGGGGGTCTTCCTTTGTTTTCCCGACCCTCCACTTTACCAAGCATGATGTTCTTGTGCAGAAATTGGTCCCTCCTGACAACATGTCTGAAACTGTTCCCTCCTGACAACACGTCTGAAACATGAGAGACGAGGTCC